ACCCACCACTGCCCCTCAACCAAGCAGCTCTACTTTTGTTGTTTTATATGTGGAGTGACCATGCGGAATTTCTTTTGAAAAAGTGTTCCAGAACTCTAACGTGTTGAAAAGCCAAAGGCTTACCGGAGAGTCTGTGCTAAACCTCTTAGCATGGCCTAATTCCTATCTGTCCTCACCTTGCCTCTCCAGCCTTCTTCCTCTCAACAGCCCAAAATTGTTTTATTAATAAAACAACATGGTGAAACCCCATCTCTACTGAAAATACAAAAATTAGCTGGGCATGGTGGCATACGCCTGTAGTCCCAGCTACTCGGGAGGCTAAGACAGAAGAATTGCTTGAACCTGAGAGGCAGAGGTTGCAGTGAGCAGAGATTGAGCCACTGCACTCCAGCCTGGCACCTGGTGACAGAGCAAGACTCTGTCTCAAAAACAAAACAAAACAAAACAACAAAAAAACAAAAAACAACAATGCTTATTATCCCCAAAGATTTTCTTTTGATTCTAATTCTTGTTCTTCTTTTGAGATGTATACATTCACAGAAACAGCTCATGTATTCCACCATGAAGCCACACTGCACTCTGCCCTGAACATGCCAAATTGTGCACACTGTGGTTCCTTCGCCCATGATGTCACTGGGATGGACACTCCTTAAGGCAGGGCCTTTGTCTTATTTGCTGTTGCAACCCAACTACCTGGAAACATACCTGGTATAAAGTTAAACACAAATACGTATTTATTAAATGAATAATTGTTCTTTCCCAGTTCTCTGCCATGCAAGCGTCTCTGTTTATCCTTCAAGGCCAATTCAAATGTCACGGCCTCTGGAATTTTCCATGACAGGAATCCCCACCCTCCAACTGTCAGCATCAATTTCTTGCCCTCTTTTGTGTTTTCCCGAACACTCAGTCTAGGTTTCTGTAAGAATATTTATCATATTGTGCAGTGGCTTTTCTCTGGAACTCTGTCTCCATCCACACTCCCCTCCAGTGTGAACTCCAAGAGGACAAGGACCGTGCAGAAACAATGCCTGCTCAGGAAATAACTGATAAAAGTTAACTACACTCCCCACTCCAGAAACCCTGTTCCAAGTCAGTTCTAATTGGCAGTTAACCCATCAGGACAGAAGGTTAAAACCAGCTTAACCTTAACAGTTAACTTTGGCTACCAAATTCTTGAGCTTTATGCTCTCACTGTCTTGGACTTATTGTGACCTTCTACCTGGATTCTTTGTTTATTCCCTTAGCCCAGACTTCATCCTCACCTTGACTGATCGGGTGGCCAAGGTTGATTCATTTAGTACTCTCTCCAGATTTTAACCCTTCAACTGTCTGTTATAATTCTGGTTAAAGCTGCACTGACCCTAACTAACCATTTAGGCTCTGTAATGAACAAACGGCCCCTGAGTCAGATGCTGATAGCCCCAGGAATAAACAGCGGGTAAGGGAGAAAGTCTTGAGGGATCAGGAAGCAGCAGATTTGGGGAACCCAGAAACCACTATAGTCAAAAAGGGATGCAGGCTGGGTGCAGTGGCTCATGCCTATAATCCCACACTCTGGGAGGCCAAGGCAGGCGGATCACATGAGGTCAGGAGTTCAAGACCAGCTTGGTCAACATGGTGAAACCCTGTCTCCACTAAAAATACGAAAATTAGCTGGGTGTGGTGGCGTGCACCTGTAGTCCCAGCTACTTGGGAGGCTGAGGTGGGAGAATTGCTTGAACCTAGGAAGTGAAAGTTGCAGTGAGCCAAGATCATGCCACTGCACTCCAGACTGAGCGACAGAGCCAGACTCTGTCTCCCAAAAAATAAACAAACAAACAAAAAAAACCCAAAAAAAACAAAAACAAAAGAGAAAGAGAGAGAGAGAGAAGATAGATGCAACTTCAGAAGCAGATAGCTCTCCAGCTAGAATTTCTCCCACTTTCATCAGGTTCAACCAACTTCTATAACACAGCCCTGTAGCCATGACTGCCTGGGGCAGAGCAATTATCCATTTGAAGGAATGACTTCTCCACTTCTCCAGGAAAGCAGCCTTCACATAGAGAAATGGGTCAGCTAGAGCAAGCCCATTTTTTAAAATTTAGCTGTAATAAATATATAAAACTACCAGAACCTTTTTTTTTTTTTTTTTTTTTTTTGTGAGACAAATTAAGTGCAATGGTGCAGTCTCGGCTCACTGCAACCTCTGCTTCCCAGGTTCAAGCGATTCTCCTGCCTCAGCCTCCCAAGTAGCTGGGATTACAGGCACCTGCCACCAGGTCCGGCTAATTTTTGTATTTTTAGTAGAGCTGGTTTTGCCAAGTTGGCCAGGCTAGCAGACTCCTGACCTCAGGTGATCCACCCGCCTCGGCCTACCAAAGTGCTGGGATTACAGGCGTGAGCCACCACACCTGGTCTCAAATTACCAGAACTTAAAAAAAAAGGCTTTTACCCAGTACAGCTATTTTTAATAAAAATAGATGGAATTGGGCTGGGTGCAGGGATCATGAGGCCAGCAACTGAAGACCAGCTTGGCCAACATAGTGAAACTCTGTCTCTACTAAAAATACAAAAATTAGCTGGGCTTGGTGGCAAGCACCTATAATCCCAGCTACTTGGGAGGCTGAGGCAGGAGAATCACTTGAACCCAGGAGGTGGAGGTTGAAGCGAGCCAAGACTGCACCACTGCATTCCAGTCTGGGCAACGGGGGCGGGAGCCAGGATGCCAGGTGCAGTGGCTCAGTCTTGTAATCCCAGCACTTTGGGAGGCTGAGGCGGGTGGATCACAAGGTCAGGAGTTTGAGACCAGCCTGGCCATCTCTACTAAAAATACAAAAACTAGCCAGGCCTCGTGGCAGATGCCTGTAATCCCAGCTACTTGGGAGGCTGAGGCAGGAGAATCGCTGGAACCCAGGAAGCGGAGGTTGCAGGGAGCCAAGATCATGCCACTGCACTTCAGCCTGGGTGACAGTGAGACTCCATCTCAAAACAAACAAAACAAAACAAAAACGAAAAGTAGCCAGGGAGGCTCTTTCTGAGATTGTGAAAGGAAAACACATACTACCATTTATTGAACACCTACTTGGTGTCAAAATCAATGGTAGGCTCTGTCATGCACATAAACAAAATATCATTCCTGGCTGGGCACAGTGGCTCATGGCTGTATTCTCACTACTTTGAGAGGCCAAGCGGGTGGATCACTTGAGGTCAGGAGTTCGAGACCAGCCTGGGGCAAATGGTGAAACTTCATCTCTACTAAAAATGCCAAAAAAATTAGCTGGGTGTGGTGGTGGGCACCTGCAGTCCCAGCTACTCGGGTGGCTGAGGAAGGAGAATCGCTTGAACTCGGGAGGTGGAGGATGGAGTGAGCCGAGATGGCGGCCCTGTACTCCAGCCTGGGCGACAGAGTGAGACTATCTCAAAAACAAAAACAAAAACAAAGATGAGGACATTACTACAAGTTTCATAATTTTCCGGTAAGTCAGAAAGCTGGTAAGGTATTGAAAAGGGATTCATAGGCAGGCTTTTCTGACTCCAAAGCTTCTGATTCTGACTTTCTCCCTCAAATGATCAGTACGGAAGGAGGAAACAGGCAGTGATAGTTACCCTAGACAGCCCAGCCTTAGCCCAAGAAGCCACTTGCTCATAGTCAAAAAAGAAACATCGGTTTGATAAAAGATTCTTGCAGGGCAAGAAATAGTTCTCAGAACGTACAATAGACACTAAAATTGCCAGTAACATTAATAATTCCTCTGCCTGCCACCCCCACGTCCTGAAGAGCAAGGCCTCTCCAAGTCTGTTACCCGATGCAGAAAATGCGGTAACACCAGCCCCATGGAGTGTGCCTGTATTCGATGGTCGAAGCACTTAATTGTCTTCCTGAAAAAATAAAAATAAACGCAAATCCTCACATTCACTGCACCAAGAAACTCAGCCCGTGGCCCGCGATCAGGGCAAGGATTGAGGGAGAGCCAAAGACCCAAAAGGAAACCAGATGGGAACGGCTCAGTGCGGTGTCAGGGTGAACGCTTTGGGAACTGACCTCGAGTCTTCCCTCCAGGAAGAGGTTTGGCATGGAAGCTGAGGAAAGGGGTCCCGGGCGGAGATTCAAAGAAGGGGCGTTTCCTCGCTCACCCCATTTTTGCAACTGGACGCACAGCTCCGGGGCGGGGGGTGAGCGGAGCTCAGGCACATTGGGCGGAAAGCCAGAAAGGGACGCTGGGGGCCCAACCATGTTATTTGCAAGTGGAAAAATGGAGGACGAATATGGAAACGCGGAAGGGAGGGAAAAAAAAAAAAGGCCCGGCTCGGCCGCTCAAGCCTGTAATGCCAACACTTTGGGAGGCCGAGGCGGGCGGATCACCTGAGCTTGGGAGTTAGAGACCAGCCTGGCCAACATGGTGAAACTCCATCTCTACTCAAAATACAAAAAGTAGCCGGGCGTGTGGCGCATTCCTGTAGTCCCAGCTACTCGGGAGGCTGAGGCAGAATTGCTTGAACCCGGGGCGGGGCGGAGGTTGCAGTGAGCCGAGATCGTGCCACTGCACTCCAGCATGGCTGACTGAGCCAGGCTCCGTCTCAGACAAATAAAGGAATTTTCGCCAATTGACAATTGTCAAAATTCCGCCAAACACGTCTCCCAGACCTCCAGGGAGCGAGCTAGCTGCCCAAGGCGGGCACAAGGCTTCGCGCGCAGCTCTGAGGCGCCGGCTGGCTCACATGTCCCGGCCACACCACGAAAACAACAGCCACAGGGGAAGACAACCTCTGTTTTCCTTATACAGCCGTTATTTGCCACAACGATCCCTTTCCTTTTGTTTCCACGATGCGTTATTCGTAAGTGCTTACGTGGCACCAAACACGCGCTCTCTGCCCCACAGGATTCAGGCTTGCCAGCCCTCAATTTCCCGGCGTTCCTCTCCAGTCTTCTTAGCTTCCTGCCCGCCCTTCTCGTCTCAGCCAACCCTGCTGAGATTTCGCGTGGACGTCACGAGTTTCTAAGCAGATCAGGAAAACCCGCCGCACCCTCGCGCGCCCCCGCCTGGCGGTGCGGACCAAACGGTCTGAGCGCGTGGCTGGCGCCTGACAGCCAAGAGGGCGAGGCTGAGGAGCCGAGGCAGATGCAGCGATGAGCGGCCGGACGAGACCGAGAGGCGTGCTAACAAGCTGCCGTGGCTTGGTGAGGATTTCGGTTGTGTTTTCCTTGGCCGGCACTGGAAGCCCAGAGAAGCCGTGTGGAAGTGCCTTTTGCACGTGTTCTCCCGTGTGTTGGGGATTGTCCCCCCGGAAGAGCCTTGGTGGCCACACGGTGTCCGTGCCCCTCTCCCTGCTGGACCCGAGGCCCTTTCCCAGCAAAAGCTGGACTGGTGACCTGTATCTACGCAGGGGTCAGCAGCCCTCGCAGGAGGATTGGTACCCATATATCTAGTACGTTCGTTCGTGCATTTCCTTGTCTTTAATTCGAAGTCGTTGAACGCCTGTAACGTTCCCGGCGCTTAGGATCCATGAGTGAATAAAACGAAGGGTGCTTCCTTCCTGGGGCTTACAGTCCAGGGGAAACAGAGCCGCTGATTTCAGGCGTCATCAGCAAGTTGGGTGTTAGAGGGCGACGGCGCTGCGAAGGGAAAGCAGTAGGCAGGCAGGGAGGGCTGAGAAGATCGTGGTCAGCGTAGGCCGCATTGCAAAGAGATACTCAACTGGGCAGAGGAAAGTTTGGGGAGGAGGAAGTGAATTCCAGGCAGATGGAGGAGACAGTGCAAAGGCCCAGTGTGACTTGTATTTATAAGAAACAGCAAAGCCGGGCGCGGTGGCTCAAACCTGTAATCCCAGCACTTTGGGAGGCCAAGGCGGGTGGATCACGAGGTCAAGAGATGGAGACCATCCTGGTCAACATGGTGAAACCCCGTCTCTACTAAAAATACAAAACATTAGCTGGCATAGTGGCGCGTGCCTGTAATCCCAGCTACTCAGGAGGTTGAGGCAGGAGAATTGCCTGAACCCAGGAGGCGGAGGTTGCGGTGAGCCGAGATCGCACCATTGCACTCCAGCCTGGGTAACAAGAGCGAAACTCCGTCTCAAAAAAAAAAAAAAAAAGAAAAAGAAAAAAAAGAAACAGCAGCAGGGCATGGTGGCTCAGGCCTGTAATCCCAGCACTTTGGGAGGCCGAGGCAGGCGGATCACTTGAGGTCAAGAGTTCGACCTCAAGTCGAGACCAGCCTGGCCAACACGGTGAAATCCCATCTCTACCAAAAATACAAAAATTAACTGGGCGCGGTTGTGCGTGCCTGTAATCCCAGCTGCTTGGCAGGCTGAGGCAGGAGAATCACTTGAGTCCAAGAGGCAGAGATTGCAGTGAGCCGAGATCGGGCCACTGCATTCCAGTCTGGGCAACAAGCGAAATTCCGTCTCAAAAAAAAAAAAAAAAAGCCTAGTGTGGTGGCTCATGTCTGTAACCCCAGCACCTTGGGAGGCCGAGGTGGGTGGATCACGAGATTAAGAGATGGAGACCATCCTGGCCAACATGGTGAAACCCCATCTCTACTAAAAATACAAAAATTGGCTGGGCATGGTGGCCTGCCTGTAGTCCCAGCTACTCAGGAAACTGAGGCAGGAGACTCACTTGAACCTGGGAGGCAGAGGTTGTAGGGAGCCGAGATTGCACCACTGCACTCCAGCCTGGCGACAGAGTGAGACTCCATCTCAAAAAAAAAAAAAAAGAAAAAAGAAAAAAAAAAGAAAGGGAAAACAGTAAGAAACCCTTGAAAATGAATGGAAGATGAGAAAGAAAGGAGGAAGGAGGGAGGGAGGGAAGATAGGAAAGAAAGAAGGAAGGAAGGAAAAACAAAACCAAACAGCAAGAAATCCTTGACTATGAATGGAGGGTGAGAATCCCAAACGGATTCCAAATTTAATACACACTGCACAGCCAAAGCAATCCAACAGCATTTGTCCCTCCCCTCCCCACATTGCCTGCCCCTCTCCTGCAACAGACCCACACCGAGTGGCTCCAGTGCAGGCCAAGACTTTCAGACAGCTTAAACCTTTTTTTTTTTTTTGATACCAAGTTTCGCTCTAGAGTGCAATGGCACAACCTTGGCTCACTGCAACCTCCGCCTCCCAGGTTCAAGCAATTCACTTGCCTCAGCCTCCCAAGTAGCTTACAGGTGTGCACCACCATGCCCAACTCATTTTATAGTTTTTTAGTAGAGATGGGGTTTCGACATTTTGGCCAGGCTGGTCTTGAACTCCTAACCTCAGGTGATCCACTCACCTTGGCCTCCCAAAGTGTTGGGATTACAGACATCAGCCACCGAGCCCAGCCTAAACTCCATCTATTGGACTGAGTCAGTAGTTGTTTTGACTCATGGAAACATGTCTAGCTTCATGTTTCCATGACAGCACCCGTCTATTGACTCAGTCTAATAGATGGAGGCAAACTAGTAGAAAAGTAAGTAGAATACAACTTATACAGGAATCTTGATAATAGCCTCATCCTTTTTCATATTTCCTCCCATCTTTTTGCTGTGCATACAAGCCAAACCGAAACAAATAGACATAATACAAGAAGTTCTTTTAGTCCACCTTCACTGTGATGTTTTTCTGTAATTTTTGTAGACTAGTGAGGTTTCAGGAAAGGGACTGACTTTTAATAATATCAAAAAAATAATTTTCCTTAAACATATATATATATAATATATATAAATTTATTATATATATATAATTATATATATATATATAATATATATAAATTTATTATATATATAAAATTATATATATATTATATATATAAATATATATATAATATATATATATATATATTTGAGTATGTGACTTTCTCCAGCATTGCTGTTTTTTTTTTTCTTTTTAGCCTTTGGCCCTTCTCATAAGGATGAAAATGCGTCTGTTTGGTGTCTGGGCCCTGCTGGCCTTGATTCTTTGCCCAGGTGAGGCTATTTGGGAAAGTTTTTTTGACCAGTATGTGCCAGGACACAGGTAGCTGGTCAGTGAGGAAGGGGATGGGGCATCCTGAGTGGGATGACACTTCCGTGTTCATTCATCTGGATTGATGAGTGATTCCTATCTCTTGGATCACTAGGACACAGAATCCTTAGGTCCCTGGCTTGTAATTGGGATAACCCAAGTTAATAGACTATCAGAGAGGACTCTCCCTAGGAGATAGGCCTTCTCTACTTGGTTCCCTTCTGCCCCAGGAGTGCCCTGTGTTTCTCCTCTTGAGAACATTTTTACTTCCTTTTTGCCACCCTTTGTGTCACGATGAAGTATAATAGGCTCTTGGTAGGACAGGACCCATTGCTCAGGTACGAAAAGTGAGTTCTCCTGATGACAGGAAAGGAACAGGGGTCTTAGCAGGTAACATTGCTACAAGAGTTGTGTATTCCCAGAAGAGACTGGTATTGGGCGGTGAAGTAGATGGTAGACATGGACTAGCTAAAGGGGACCTGTAGGGAAGCCTTCAGGAATTCCTGAAGTCCCCGTGCCCCTTGCCTACATCAAGCATTTAAAATCCATCCAAGCCTGGGCGCGGTAGCTCACAACTGTAATCCCAGCAATTTGGGAGGCTGAGGTGGGCGAATCACCTGAGGTCAGGAGTCTGAGACCATCCTGGCCAACGTGGTGAAACCCCATCTCTACAAAAAATACAAAATTAGCCAGGCATGGTGGCGCATGCCTGTAATCCCAGCTACTAGGGAGGCTGAGGCGGGAGAATCACTTGAACCTGGGAGGCAGAGGTTGCAGTGAGCCCAGATCGCACCACTGCACTCCAGCCTGGGCAAAAAGAATGAAACTATCTCTAAAATAAAATAAAATAAAATAATAAATAAAATCCATCCAACATCTTCCACTGCATCAGAGATTTCCAGAACAGATGAAATTTGTAAGCATCCAAAAACATCCGTTCCGGCCAGGTGCATTGGTAGTTGACGCCTGTAATCCCAGCACTTTAGGAGCCCAAGGCAGGCAGATCACCTGAGGTCTGGAGTTCGAGACCAGCCTGACCAAATGGAGAAAACCCATCTCTACTAAAAATAAAAAATTAGCCAGGCATGGTGGCACATGCCTGCAATCCCAACTACTTGGGAGGCTGAGGCAGGAGAATCCCTTAAACCCAGGAGGCAGAGGTTGTGGTGAGCTGAGATCGCGTCATTGCACTCCAGCCTGGGCAACAAGAATGAAACTTCATCTCAGAAACAACAACAAAGACAAAAAATCCGTTCCCTTAGTGCCAAATCAAAATAGAATGGTCTCAGTTTGAGAAGAGGCGTAAAGTTCCATGGGACATGAGTGACCCTGGGAGTCACCTGCAGGCCAGTGGAGATCAGAATATAGTGTGCATAAGGGTCCCCAGGAGGCTTATTTTATACACTAGCATATTTTCAGGTCCCACCCTCACAGGTTCAAAATCATACATTCTAAGGTGGAGTTGGAATGTGCAGTTTACAAGCATTCAGGGTGATTCCGGTGAAGGCAATCCTTAGCCATAATTTGAGAGAGATACTCCTTTGAGGGATAAGTAATAAAGTTTGAATCCTGTGATGGTCCACAGCAGCCTATCCTGGGGAGCTTTCAAGAATTCTGAAGGTTTAGCAAGATAATGGTCTCCTGGGCATACTTTTTTAGCAATGCCATAATTTCCATGGTGATACTAACAGAGAATTCAAGTTCTCAAGAAAGAAGATAGGTGGAGGGAATCGTGGTGGAATCAGGGCTCTAACTTGTTAATTACAGGTCTTTTATCCTGTCTGGTCCTCTGAACCTTTTTATTCACGGCAGGTTTCCTGTTCTCTAACCTGGAACTAGATAGAATAGGCTCTGTATTCTGTTTGGGTCTTGTGGTCCTCACCAGAGTCATTGGCATATGTGGTTCCTATTTCAGGGGCCCCAGAAGAGTTGTTTCAGGTTTCTGTTTGGCCAAATCAGGCCCTGGTGGAGTTTGGACAGTCCCTAGTGGTCAACTGCAGCACTACCTGTCCAGACCCAGGACCCAGCGGAATTGAGACCTTCTTGAAGAACACTAGGGTGGGCAAAGGGCCTCAGTGGAAAGAGTTTCTTCTGGAGGATGTCACAGAGAATTCCATCCTGCAGTGCTTCTTCTCTTGTGCAGGGATTCAAAAGGACACAAGCCTTAGCATCACTGTGTATCGTGAGTAGGGCTGAGGGCTGGGGCAGGGGGGTGGAAGGAGGAATGGGGAAACATGAACATGTCTTATTTAGGGAAGGACTTGACAAATGTTTCTAATTAAGGCCCTTAATAAAGATTTCTGTTATACTACAGGGATTCTAGAGCCAATCACCTTTCCAGGCTGGAGTGCAGTGGCACCTTCTTGGCTCACTGCAACCTCCACCTCCCAAGTTCAAGCAGTTTTCTGCCTTGGCCTTCCAAGTAGCTGGGATTATAGGTACCCGCCACCATGCCTGGTTAATTTTTGTATTTTTAGTAGGGAAGGGTTTTCACTTTCTTGGCCAGGGTGGTCTTAAAAGTCCTGACCTCAGGTGATCCACCTCCTCCTGGCCTCCCAAAGTGTTGGGCTTATAGGCATGAACCACTGTGCCTGGCCATGTTTTTTTTTTGTTTTTGTTTTTGTTTTTTTTTTTGAGACGGAGTCTTGCTCTGTTGCCCAGACCGGAGTGCAGTGGTATGATCTCGGCTCACTGTAACCTCTGCCTCCTGGGTTCAAGTGATTCTCTTACCTCAGCCTCCCGAGTAGCTGGGATTACAGGTGCATACCACTAGACCCAGCTAATTTTTATATTTTTAGTAGAGACAGGGCCTTACCATGTTGATCAGGCTGATCTCAAACGCCTGACCTCAAGTGGTTCACTTTCCTTGGCCTCCCAAAGTACTGGGATTACAGGCATGAGCTACCTTGCCCGGCCTGCTAGAGTATAGATTTTAGGTGATACTAAGGAGACCCCAGAAGCTGCTCTTGCCTCTGAAGCCCCTCTGGCAAGAGATCAGTGCTTTCCAGAATGGCAGCAGTCAAAGCAAGGGACCCTCCCTCAACAGTCCCTCTTCTTGGCTATGGCCCTAGCCACTTTTGATGAGCAGAGGAAGGGCCGAAAGACTAACTCATCCCATCTAGGGCAGGGATGGCAGAAAGCTGACGTTGCTGACCAGATAGTTTAAGGGTGGCAGTCACCTTCTGTGATTTGTATCACCACATCTTCCTGTCCTATGCTATTTCTTTCTGGAGAGGTGGGTAGCACTCTCATCAAGCCCTGCCTTTGTGTCTTAAAGAGCCACCAGAGCAAGTGATTCTGGAGCTGCAGCCTGCCTGGGTGGCTGTGGATGAAGCCTTCACAGTGAGATGTCATGTGCCCAGAGTAGCACCCTTGGAGAACCTCACCCTTACCCTTCTCCAGGGTAACCAAGAACTGCATAGAAAGAAATTTATGAGCTTGGCTGTGGCCTCCAAAAGAGCTGAGGTCATCATCCATGTCAGAGCCCAAAGGGAAAATGACAGGTGCAGTTTTTCCTGCCGTGCAGACCTGGACTTGAGTTTGCAAGGTGGGAGGCTCTTTCAAGGCAGCTCACCCATCAAAATACTCCGGATCTTTGGTGAGTCAGAACTCAGGTGCAGGAGGAATCGTGGGGCTCATTTTGCTCATCCTGCCTTGGCCTTTGGGACTAAGTTCTCACGGGGTTTAGGGTGGGGGCATGAGAGTAACTGAGCTTCACCTTTGCTTGGGCTTTAAACTCACCCTGGGGAAGAAAGACCTTTTAGCCCAACTCCCTCCCTACCTTGTGGGGTCCTGCATGACGTGATTTCTCATGGCTTTTCTCCTTTCTCTCCTTGTCCTTATTTTTTTGGCAGAATTCTCTCAGAGTCCCCAGATCTGGGTCTCTTCCCTTTTGGAGGTTGGGATGGCGGAGACTGTGAGGTGTGAGGTGGCTAGAGTGTTTCCAGCTGAAGAAGTTATATTCCACATGTTCCTGGAAGACCAGGAGCTGAGCTCCTTCCTTTCCTGGGAAGGGGACATAGCACGGGCCAATGCTACCATTCGGGCCATGGAGGCTGGTGATCAGGAACTGTCCTGCTTTGCATCTCTGGGTCCAATTGAACAGAAAACAAGAAAGCTAGTGCACAGCTACAGTAAGTGACCTGCCTCTTCCTTTCTCATACGGGTTCTCTGCTGCTGAAAATACAGAGTAACAGGTTGGTAATTTGGCGGTAGATATCCCTGCTGCCCTTCACTGGGTACATTCTCAAGTGAATATGAGTCTTCATCTTTCTCTGGTAAATGCAGGCAGATTGGGGACATGTATTGCTTTAGTACTTCTTTCTAGCCTTCATCCCCAGTTTCTTTAGGCCATCCTGCTTACAGAGTGATTGTGGATGCCTGAACTACTTCTTAGGAACATTTATTTGAGGTGAGGAGGAAAGCTGTAAGATGAAAAAGACATCTTAGGTCGGGCGAGGTGGCTCACGCCCGTAATCCCAGCACTTTGGGAGGCCGAGGTGGGTGGATCATGAGGTCAGGTGTTCAAGACCAGCCTGGCCGAGATGGTGAAACCCTGTCTCTACAAAAAATACAAAAATTACCTGGGCGTGGTGGTGGGTGCCTGTAATCCCAGCTACTCGGGAGGGTGAGGCAAAGAATTGCTTGAACTCAGGAGACAGAGGTTGCGGTGAACTGAGATCATGCCACTGCACTTCAACCTGGGTGACAGAGCAAGACTCTGTCTCAAAAAAAAAGGAAAGAACATACATCTTGCAGTTCTTGCAGCAAAGCATAGCTAAAGGTGTGCATGCATAAGATAAGCTCTCGAATCCCCAAATCACCTCATTCTTACCTTCAGCTTTTACAGAAGCAGCAATGGTATCCAAAGTCTTTCCCAAGTTGCCTTCCCAAGGGATTCCACCAGCAGCAAGAATGCACAAGTGTCTGCTAGTTTTGATAAATGTGTCTGGCTCTCCTTTTCCTTTTCTTACAGGGTTCCCTCCACCAATCCTGGAGCTAAAAGAATCATACCCATTGGCAGGGACCGATATTAATGTGACCTGCTCAGGGCATGTATTAACATCACCCAGCCCTACTCTTCGGCTTCAGGGAGCCCCAGACCTCCTTGCCCCTGGGGAGCCTGCCTGGCTTCTATTTACTGCCATGGAGGAAGATGATGGCCGAAATTTCTCCTGCGAGGCCTCTTTGGAGGTGCAGGGTCAGCGGTTGATGAAAACCACTGTGATCCAGCTCCATGTCCTATGTGAGTAGAGGCCTGACCTTTCTTGTCAAAATGAGGATCATTATTTTCCCATTTCTAGAGAGCTTCTTGGCCACTGCTTCATTATTAGAGTTGTCACATTTTTCTCATTAAAAAAGACAAAGGAGAGAATAAAAGGAAAGCTCTCCTAGCTTACCTTACGCCCAGGAAAGTGAGTGGGAAACAAGATGCGGGGAAATTTGGAACATAAAGGAAAGTGGTTCAAGTGATCACGCAGCAGTGGTTGAGAGTCGATGGTCAAGGAGAACAGAGGAAGTGATAGTTGGAGTTTATGCTGAAGAGGGACATATTCAAAATTTCCATATAAAAATTTGTATTTTGACAAGTAGAGAAAATAGACTGGGCATGGTGGCTCACACCTGTAATCCTAGCACTTCGGGAGGCCGATGGCTAGAGGTCAGGAGTTTGAGACCAGCCTGACCGAAATGGTGAAACCCCATCTCTACTAAAAATACAAAAATTAGCTGGGCACGGTGGTGGGCACCTGTAATCCCAGCTA